GCATGTCTTCAATGAATTCTAAGTGCTTTTAATTTTTTCAAAGTGGTTGTTTGRCACAGTTCACAGAGGAGCTGAGAGCTGACAGCGGCCATTTTTCACAGACATATGAATGGATTGATCCCAGGAGTGCAGAGTGATGTGATTATACACTTTAAGAAATAAGATGCTCGAATGGCAGAAGAATGCGGACATCAAGTAAACGGCATCTAACAACCAACGTCTCTTTGTGGCTCAGGACGGAAAGGCGCACTGGGAAATCTCCCCATGGAACCCCTTAAAGGAGATGATGAATTTGTTTACTTTCTGATTACACGGGGATTTTGTCCGGCTCTGCCTATTTATGTATCTGTTTGACTTTTTATGATCAAGATATCCGAAGCAATCTGTCTCCTCGCGAGGAAGCAGGAACCTTCGATCAAAGACAAAGATGAAGAGATGAGTGCTGACTGACTTTTAATAAACAGCAGGGAGGGAAAATTTAAAACAAATAAAACAAACATCCTCCCATTTCTTAAAGGACACAAATCAGCTTAACCAAAATGACTTAATATTGATCACGTCTGCACCAAATGTAATTTGCGTTTATCTCTGGTTTACAAACTCCAGACTCCAGTGGTTCAGGAGATACTTTGTTAGTGGTACAGACAAAAAGACTCGCTCAAACATTTTCAAAAACACCATCACCCTGCTATGCTGTAAGGAAACAAAAATGTTACATTTCAAAGAGTGATTTCAATAGAAAAGGGAAGTTTTGGTCATTTTAATCAAATAAAATGTCCAGAGTTTGGAGGAAGAAGTGTGAGGTTTATCAAAATGTTTGGGCTGAACTGCAGGTGACAGTTTCTGATTTCAGATCAGAGAGGATCAAAGTCAACTTTCAGTTTTCCCATTCCCTGTGAACTCCGCTCACCTCATCCGTTTCATCCACTTTTCAGCATCACAAAGACAGCTGCTGGCAGGGGGTCTGGAGAAGTCCTTCACAAAAGACCCTTGAAGGCTTTGAAGAGATTTAAATAAAACTACTGACAAAAATCAAAACCAGAAAAAAGAAAACTTTCTGCCRTACAGAAGGTTTTCAAACCACTGGACCATCCTGTGAGTTCCCCATTGTTTCAGTCAATAACAGCCTGCAGGCMTTGTAAGCAACAGCAGRAACTTTGTCAGCAAATTCTCATAAYGCGATCATTGAATTTCCATCTTAAAACAGTTCCCACAGATTGATTTAGTACTTTTTTTATCTTAAAACTGCTTGTATTTTTCAAAGTAACATATGACCAGCTAAMAATTTCTGCAGCCAAAGTGTAAACACAGACTGCAGTCAGCTGCTAGCTGTGAAACTGGAAACAGTTTATTAAATAAAAACTGACAACAATGAGGCTCCTTTGTTCTGCTTTTATTAAAATCTTGATACCTTTAAAGTGGTTGTCAGTTTTAATGTCCAGTTTACTCCAGAGTGCAAAYATAAGTGTGTGAGATTAACGATGCCTCAGTCTTTGAGAAAGATGCTGAAAATAGTACGTCTCCGAAGGCCTTTAAACTAATGATCTTAAACCACTGCCTCATCCTTTAGACAGGTCTTTTGTGAATTCTCATACGCAGCGCTGCTAAAGTAACTGAACTCATTTTAAATAGCTGTACRTTTCTGCAGAAATTTAACTTCAATTAATAAAATTAGAAAAAGAATCCCAAAGCTTCTTAACATGCAGCTCATGAATCAGCGTTTCTCAAACTTTACAAAACTATTTATCAAAATTCACCCCTGAAGTAATGTTTCGAATTTTCTGTTAAATCATGACATTTAAGAAAACAGCTAAAGAACTCTCCAACGATGTGTAATATTACTATTTTAGGTATTTTTGCACCAACATCAAGCTGCAGTAGTGTGCATGGCAGTATTTTAAAAATAAAAGCCTGTATGCAGGTTTAAATAAAAATAAAATAAAATTTAAAAACATTAACACCTGTATTCAGCTCTCCTGAAGATCCATATAACACTAAAGTCAGGTTTAAAAGCAGGTCTAAACTGGGKCTGTCTGCTTCACAAACAAGAGCAACAGTGCTTCTGTTTACAGGAACAGATAATAGTTTAATGATACGACTCCACATGAATGCCAAAGCCACCTGCACTACAGCTCTCTGCTTTTTGCCCTTCTACCTCGGAAAATGTTTTATTCCGCTATTGTGTCTCATTACAGCAGAAAAGCCCCACCAGCTGAGCGAGGCAGATGTTCCATTGTGGCGCACAGCAGCTCCTCAAGTGGCCGGCATTCATCTAAGTGTCTGTGTGTTACAACTGGCTGCTGCAGATGAACAAGGACGATCCATCACGACGAGGAAAATCGAAGTGATGAAGATGCAGTTTGGGAAGCTTTTTGTTAAACAGRATTTTGCCCTGCTGCGTTTCTCCATGGGTAAAAAAAAATGCTGCAGATGGAAATGAGGACATTTCTGAGGGTTCGGCTGTTACTGATAATATCATTGACACGACTTGGCAAAAAAAAAAAAAAAGCTCTGAATTTTAAAAAATGAATTTGGGCTGCCCTGCAGTTAAAGGCTGCTAATGGAAGCAGGGAGGCGGTGGAGAGCATGGGGGCAGCTGGTGGCAAGTGTCCAGTCWGTCCATGTTGGCTTTTGTAGCTGCTGACAAATGCCAGCAGACAGCAGATGCTGTGGGGAGAGCAGAGATCTATTGTTGCAGCCTCGAACCATGTTCTCCACGCTACGTTACTGTGAAATATCCTCTTCCAAACAGTATTTTTTACATCACTCTCTGATGCTGTCACATGTAACACAATGCAACACCAGCCACTCATACATAAGTTAAATTCCTGCAAAAAAGTACAAAAAATGTGAGAGAATTTCATGTACCTGAGTAAATTATTTATCCCCAGACACAGAGAACTACACAACTCTGACAATACACATAAAAATAATTGAAGGCCCAGTGTTCCTTGAAGGAATCTGTATTGACCACCACTTTTTTGTGTCAGAACTTTAGGCTAAAAAAAATCGTGCAACAAGTTTGTAGCAATTTTGGTCAAATGTTTGGTCTCATGATACAGCGCTAACAAATTACACTAAAAAAATCTTTATTTTCTACAGTATATTTTTTAAGAAAATATAAGTTTAAACCCAGGAACAAGACAAATGTGATTTTTTACCTAGTGTTTTGCAAAGAGTTCATGKTAAAACATTTACAACCTCAGCAAGTTTTAGCTTAGTAACTGAAAAATTCTCTGCAGTGTCAACATTTTTCAATGAACTGAAGTTGGTTAGTGGAATAGCAAAATTAATCACTTGTAGATGTACAGCTAATAATTACTTCTAATAATTACTTTCTGAAAGTTTCATAAAAATCAACCCAGTGATCCAGTGGATTAGATTCTTTGCTCCCAGACAGAGTTKGTGGTAAAGTTTTAAAAACAGATCAGCACAATCACTTAGTGCTCAGAGTATAACTTGTGGATCAGTCTTGGCTACTAAAAAAAAGTAATTTTAGCTTCACATCTTTAAAATTGACTGAGTTGTAACTATTTATGCTTTGCTAAGATCACTTAGCTGTGATGGGCATCTTGACTGACATTTAAAAATATTCACAGATATCAACCCAGTGATTACTTTCTGAAAGTTTCATTAAAACTTGTTCAGTGAGTCATGAGATATTTAAGCTGGAGGTGCAGCCAAAAACGAACACAAACGGGATAAAAACATTATCGGGCTGCCTTCGGTGGCGGGTGATAAATATTTCCCACTGAAACAGAACCCAGTATAATAAAACCTGTTATGTGGAAAAAACAAGAAAAATGTACATTTGTTCTCGTCTGTCCAATCATCGTTTAATTTGCCTCACTGAACTGTGCCATTATTTGCATTAGCATTTGCAGTCATCTGGCTTTTACTGCCCAGATGTGATCCCTGCTGCTTCAGCCACATCAGGCTCGCTCCACTGATCAGCACCCTGTGAAACTCCTCTATCTGCCAGCACGCCTGAGACAAGAGGTCAGCACAGTCATCGCATGAAAAAAAGTGAAAAATGTATCGCCCGCTGCTGAACACAGATAATGTTTTTTCCCCCTCTGTTTGTACTGTTAGCAAAATATTTCATAACTGAATTTGAATAAAACTTCCCAAAGTAATAAATGCTTCCCATCTAAAACTGTTTAATTTTTTTTGTCAAAATGTTTGCACTTGCAGGCCCATGGAGACTCAATTATTTTAACCAAAACTTTGCAAAGACTCACTTTAAAAGATTAGCACAAAAATCAGTCTCCTTGGAATAAAATTCACAAATAAATAAATAAATAAATGAATAAATAAATAAATAAATACATAAATACAGGAAAGAGAAAGGAAGGATGATGAAAATATTTTGCACGGTACTCATTATGAAGAAACGTAAATGAGAAATGTCTTGATCTGCATTTCAAAAACAATTAGTCTTTACTTCCATGGCGTTATATATTAGAAAAATGCCCAAGAATTTTCATAATTGTTGCAAAGTGTGAACCCATTCAAACACACTCTCCATATATTAGCTTTAGAGAATAAAACGTAAGTTCATACATAATCCTCCTTTTCATAATTTGCGCTGCCCTTGTAGTGTCAAACTCATTAAACATTTTTATTTTTTATCTGAATTCACTTCATCTCTGCTGAATCGTATCGCTTTCCCACCACTTAACACTCGTTTTATCACTTACAACTCGGTGTGTATGTGCGTGTGTGTGTGTGTGTGTGTGTGTGAGCAAGAGAGCAACAATAACAACTTGGATTTATCTGGGTCCTTGAGGGGGGTCACGGACAGCCTGATCAGCACAAAGCGAGCTTTGTGACGTGCCAGGGCTGATGATGGAAGGCAGGCGGGACCCAGACGCTCATGTGCGCTGATGGAGAGCTGATGCCAGGTGTCGAGGCCGATCGGGAACAAAGACTCGGCTGGAGGACGGCGACACCTCGGCCTGTCGGTCTGTCTGAAGACGGCTGACAACAACACGACTCACCTGACTTGGCTACAGTGCTGTTTGGAAAACTCAGGTCGTCCTCGGCCACCCAGGAGAAGCTCCAGTACCCCCGAGGAGTCCCAGCAGCACCCCTGCCGTCCAAAGGTTCACCTGCAACAGCAGATTTTAATTACAGGTAAGCGGGATGAGCTAAGAGAGTGAAACAATTAAAGTGTCAAAAAATTCAGTGAAATAACAATGTATTTATGTTGTGTTTAAAAAGCATCACTGGYTTTCACTGATTTGGCTTTCATACTGTGATATTTTTTACACATTTTTCCTTCTCACTCATGGTTCCAACTGGCTTTGGTACAATTTGGAAATGCAGTATAATTACACATTTTTTAATCACTCATTGTGAAGCAAAGCTCTTTCTGCTGACAATTCTACCACTTTAACTAAGTTYTTTTTAGTGAGGTTGTCTACAGTGCTAATTAGCAGTCAGTGGTTTTATTTGCAGTGGTATGGTTCCTTCATGCAATGTGGCTGATTAATGAATCCTGATGCTGATCAGCCAAGACCGGCAATTCCGCTTCTCCTATCACCCATAAACATATGAAATTAAAAAGTACTAAAATTTACAGTATTGTAAATGATTGCAAAAGTACTACTTGGCATCAAGTCTGACTGAAGTCCTGAGAGATTCAGCTAATCAGCAGCAGAATATGTCAAATACAAAATGAGTGTTTAAACATTGTGTTTGCTTTAACTGCCATGATTTATTTAAGACTAGGATGTTTTAAGATGTTAAAAATTGCATTCTATTCCGAAATGCTTTTATTTGAGTTGTCTAAAATTCAATCWTTGCTGATTTATTTCTGCTGGTGAGACCACTCAGAAACTTGTTCAACAGCTTAATTTAAAATCAAAACTAGCTATCCATTCATTCTTCTAAGTGGAAAGTGAGAAGCTTCTACAAWACAGCATTTCTTTGTCATTTAACATGAAGCATCACGATGAAGAAAGCAAAAGCATCATCTGTAAATAAATTAGGACATTGTCTCTCTGCACTAGAGCCAGAAAAGTCCAAAGAGCTCCATGAATTGGTTATTGGACATCAATAGGCTGCATAATTACCTGAGGGCAGGTTTGTCTRATTCTGTCTGACTCCATCTTCACCTTCCAAACTCAAAGACTAATTATCACCAGATCGAACTGAAGTCTGATACTGTAAAGTAAGAGCAACAACTTTCTCCTATATACACCCCCATCTCACACACACACACACACACACGCATATCTCTCTCACACACACTCTTTTTCATTTTGTCCTTAGTCCATGGATAATTACTGTACAGTCACAGACCGATACGCCTCTGCCGGGAGAGGAGACTTGCATAAATCCCGCAGTCRTTTCAAATGATCCTTAAAGAGCAGCTGATTGTAAGCTCTGCTTTTTATGGGTTCAACACAGCTCATTCTGCTTTTGGCTAAGAAGAGTAAAAATTCTCAAGATTTATGACCACACACCATGACTAATAACGACAAATTAGGATGACTGTTTTAATTTGTTACAACATTCCCCTCCAATTATCTGTTATTTAGTAATGCACCAATTGATTATTGGGCAAATTAAAGTGCCGAAAAATGAGCAGCTACAAGCACGTCAGGTGCTCAGAAATAAAATTCTACTCCCTAGTTTTCCTCATTTTTTACCATAAACACTCCGGCGTTAAAGTCAGTCCAATTCAAGATGGCCACCTTATAGCAGACACAAAAGAACTCAGTCAGTTTGACAACTGCTCAGCTAAGACTTGATGGGGTTCATTCCCAACACATTTGTGCCTAACACGTTTTTCAAGGTTTGATCAAAACAGCTAAACTGCCATAATTTCTTAATATAAAACTGTCTTAGTCTAAAACTCCAGCTTTCTAAGCACAAAAGTTGTCAGGAATTGTCTTTGTTTTATAAGATGATAMACTTTTATACAGTTTTTATTTTTATCTTGAATGTATTTCCTAAACAAACACAATTTGAAAAAAAAAATCTCCCTAATGAATAATTTGGCATCAGCATGGGGTTTATCTAAGCCTGGATGGTTTTCTCTTTATTTGGTAAACTTTTTTTTTACTCTCACTTATTACGTGGCCTCTGAAGCTGACCACGGCCCATGTAAAAGGTTTGGTTCGGGTTCAGCAGGTGTTGATTTAGGGAAAACGGGCCTGGCAGGTTTGAGACTCCATGAGAGGAAGATGCYGGAGCCAACTTCCTGGTTGGCTGCTTGTTGCTGAAAAAGCTTTTGGAAAAAAAGTGATGAGGCGCAGGGGGAAGTGAGTGCCTGACGTAGCAGCTGCTGTGAGAGATGGCTGRCTTCCTGACTGACAGGCAGCTTTGGGTGGACGCGCTGGCCGAGTGACTTTTTATAGAAGAGCTGATTGTGAGGCCTGAAGGCAACATGTCCTGATTTTAGATTAGTGTTCAATTTACTCTATGAATAGTTCAAGAGGGACAACAGAAAACAGTTTCTGTCACTAGAAGGCACTTCCACAGCTACTCCAAAACAAAACCTTTTGATTCAAAGCAAATTTTGCATCTTAATTTAGAAATTAATACTTAAATTTGCCATTTTAAACTTTTATTGTGAATAAATTTGAGATTCAGCACCAGTTCTTCAATTCAGTTTATTTTTCAAAAACGCTCTTAAACTATTTTATTCTCATGAGAATAGATTTTTATACTAAAGAAGTGTGTGGTGATAAAAAAGTATAAAAACAAAAATCAGGTGGTTTTACGTCACACATTTATAACGCAAATATGTTTTAAGCGAATTAATCAACTTTTAAGTCGAAAACTAAAATTTCTGATTGGATAAAGTTTTCTGAGTTCAGTTCACTTTGGCAGATTTAATCTCTAGCAGATGTGAGGAGAAGCTTGTGTTGACTTTTTGTGACTTYAKTAAACTTCTCCTTCAGTGTTCATTCACAGCAGATGTCTTGTGTGTCCACTTTATTGTTGTGTGCTTTAAAAAAAGTTTAACTTGATCAGATGCCCGAGAAACTATTGTCTGCTTTCATTTTAAGACTCTTTTTTTGTACAGTCCACTGACAAAGTAGAACGCAATGTGAATTGTTCTTTTTTCTTACCATGCTTCGATGCTGGCTTTTCCTAGAAGATGCAGTCACCCTCGCAAAATGTTCTGTCTTGCTTTGTCAAACTGGTTTAAAATTAACAATTAAATAGCTTCTTTAGCTATGATCTGTGTGACCTCACTCCTAAATTCATGTGATATTTGATTAGTTAATTTGATTTTGAGTTTTCCTAATAAGCATGAGAACAATGAACACGGGGTACGCGTGGGACATGTCCTTCGCACTTCCTGTATCTGCACTCTGTCCCTCGCTTGTCTCAGCCATTGCAACGGTTTAATCCAGTGTTAGCAAGTGGGAATGGGTTTTTCTGAGCCTTGAACATGCTAGTTAGTTATTTCTAGGAGTAAACCCAGTCCTCTTTCATTTCTGTGCAGACGTTGTGCTCACCTGCTTTCCACACTTTTACAATAAATCCGTATTGCCACCATAGAAAGAGCAAAGCCAGAGAGGAGACAGACCAGAGGCCAGCAGCAAGGACCACGATGCAGCTCTCAGGTGAGGACAGATTATAAMTTGCTGAGAAAAATATACAAATTTCAGGGAGAAACCATGCAGGTATCAGGRCAGGGTTTTCACAGATGTTCTCATTCGCACTCCAAAATATTCATTTTGTTTACTTAAAAAGCAAAAATGGTCATGAATGTTTAAATTTTTCCTTTTTTTTTTCCCTACTCATCATTCAGAGAAGGTGAGCTGTTATGGTCAAAGGTTTTCCATTGCCAGAACTCCGTTGTGGGTTCAACTCCTACATTGGTTTCCAAGTACTAACCAGGCCCAACGCTGCTTAGCTTCTGAAATCAGACGAGAGCTGTTGCGTTCAGGGTGGTATGACCACTAATGTTAAAATGTGTAGTTTATATTTAGACACTTTTGATTTTTCTGTTAATCATAATTTCTTTCCACGTATTTGACTAATGTGTTATTTGTGTTCTCAAAGGCAGGGTTTATGGGTCATGTTTTTCTTCATCTTGATTAATTTTGCTACTTTTTTCATGTCAGTTGTGACTAAAACGTTAATGTGTTTTTGTGTTATCAGTTTCTATCATGCCATTAAATCAAATTACGTGGCTGATTACTCTATTACCTTCTCACTTCCTTTCCATTTTGTGTGCTAAGTAATAATTTGTTTACAGGAATGGTGTTGGGAGATTTCATGTTCAGTGTTGCCTTTTGGCACCTAATGATCTGGCTACTTCCCCTGTCGATGTTGGAGGGTAATTGTGTTAACTCAAACAGAATTTGGCAGCTAAAACTTTAGATTTTGTTAGCATAAAGTTTAAAGAACTAAAGCCAGYCTCCTGCTGTACAGTGGCTGTTAGGGACTTTGTATTTTTAGCCATTAAGGAGAGGTGCGATTGAAAGCGAGAGAATGATAAATCACTCTATAAACCTCTGAAAAATGTGTCCCCCTAACTTCTGAGATGATGGTTACACCCCTGTTAATAAGCATGAGCTTCCCTACTATTCCCATTATTCATATAGAAGTAACTAGATATGTTTGAATTGCAAAAATTGCAACAAACTGAAACTAATTAGGATCAAGAGACATGTAATCCATCCAGTTGAATTAAAAACGATGCAGGAGGGTCAGTTGTTCCAACGCTTTTCATGTTTTGACCCACAAAACAGCAGTGACTTGTCACCCTGGTAATTGCCATTTAAAGTGTAAAGATGTATATTTTTGTATATATGCATGCTTTCACTTTTCCAGTTTAGTGCATTGATAAAATTGTTATTTTAAAATTAATTCAACAATAAAATGTTTCACTGAGTCCATCTCAATCAAATCACAGCTCATTTAGACTGTGTTGCAACATATTTATAAATCACAGAAAAACAAAATATGTTTTGCGGATGACTGAATCCAAGGTTGATAAATCAGTGAAGTCTGTTGTTTAATTAAAAACATTTTAGTGTTTAACATCTACAGATAACGTGTCAGCACAACTTCGCAAAACAATTCTTCTCCCATTGTGGTTTAAATTATTTATGAGCGTGTTTTATTGTTTGATCTATGCCAA